AGCTTACTGGGCATACACCGTTGCATAGTTTTTAGGTTTATTAAGTCGCCTTATTTCACATCTCGCGTAAGTAAATTTGTACTCGGTTTTATGCCATGCATATAAATGGAAATTTAAGATGCCCCCGCGTTCACAACAACAGTGTATTTTCTGGCCCTTTGGTGCAATTTGAAACTCATTTATGTTCCAACGATAAATTGTAAGGGTTGACTCGGAACACCACCTAGCACGAGCAGGTCAATGAAAAGTGAATAGGTAAGAGATGATGATAGGGGCGCGAGGATAACGCACGAGCGTCAATGAATGCAGCCATATGAAGCAGTTTATCAAACTAAGCTTTTTGAGGTTCTTTGCTAGCCCATCTACTGTGAGCACTCTTCTCTCTTCCTTCTCTAGACGGTCGCATTTTTCCCCCTCCACATCGATTCGATAGGTGCATATGAACTCGGCTTTTATATATGCCCTCGTAAACGTATAAGGTCTAGCCAACCGATAGAGGTCCTGCAAATAAATATCTCAATAAGAACTATTTTTGGAATTGTTCATTCGTTTTGCTCATTCGTTGAGGACGGCTAATGAGCCATAAAATGGCCATTCCCGTTTTCCTTGTCTTTGCCGGTAATGTTCATAAGTATCCATGTTGGTATGCTTACTCTGTTAACCTCCCGTCTCTGGTTACGCATGTGATAAAATGCTGTCTGCGGGAAAAATTTTTACTTCTGGTTTTTTGAGTCATTTCTCACTTTTACTTAGCATTTATACATTTACCCACAAAAAATTACACATTTGATGCATTTGCAGTTGCTGTTGCTTCTTAGTCCATTTCGAAAACATTCAAGCTCACCGTTATTTCCAGGCTTTGGCATAATTTTGTCGGTTTGCCACCTAAATAAAGATGGTTACTTTCGTTGCTTCCTATGATTTCTTTTCGACTGCCAGAGATGGGCTCCTTTCGTAGGGTATTTCTCTACAGCGCCGGACTAATATAAGGAAAAGAGAGCTGTCTTGAGATAAGCAAACTTCGTTCAATACTGCTAATTACGATCTACCTCCTGTCTTAATCTTGCTTTTCCTTCATTCGCCATTAATGAAACTGTCATCTTTAGTAAATATTCCCCATACTAGACATTTCCGCGTCCCACTTCTGTGCATAATTTATTCCGGGATATCCATTTAAACTAAATTTCTCTGGACTCATTAAGTCGATTTCACATTGCCCCCCACGCCTTGCGCTTCACGCGACTGTTCTTGTTTCAGGGAGAGCGCCTATCGCATGCAGTGGGCTGCGCGTTTGCAATCTGCCTTGAAAAGAAGCAAAAACGCGAGCGGGAGGCGGTACAGGTGACCTATCCCTCGGAGGATGCAACCTT